ATGTGAATATTATCGAGGAACAAATACTTGGATGGATAGATATTTGTTATTTGTTAAGATAAAAAAATTTGTGAAAGTGTTTAAGACGAGGACAACGTTTCCTTCTTGATTTGTGATCCGTGGGATTAGATTAGTTTCTGATGGAAAATCATCGTCCGATTTAATCCTTTTCCACGGGAAAAGGAAATTTCTCGAATCACGTCTTCGAAAACAATCCTCGGTGAGTATATCGGTCAATTTCTAATTCTTGTGTATGAATCAATAGTTTTTATTATAATATTGCTCGCATTTATTGCTACAAGAAAAATTTCGTTTTGAAATAACACTTTTTTTTTTTAAATATTTTGTATTTTCTGATAATATTCGAATAAAAATAAGTTTAGGAATTATGTTATAATTAGTTAACGTAACTTTTCCTGGCCTAATTCTAATCTTAACCTAACCTAACTTAATTTAATATAATATATTTATTTCGAATAAATAAAGAAAAAAAAAAAAAAAAAAGTAATGTTCCAAAAATGAAGTTCAAAATCCATTTTAAATGAGTTAAAAATAAAATTGATGAATTCGAAAGGGAAATATAATATGTAACAGCGGGCGACCTAAACGTAGAAACCAATGTCGAAGTTACGCGACAGAGACACGCTGAATCCCGTGACCGGCAGAAATAAGAGCAGGAAAATTCTCGAGGGAGGCAAGGGAGGCCGCACGACCCACTTACGTTGTTGATAGACAATAAAATGCGGCATCAATGCGGCAGCTTGCTCCCTCGAAGGCTAATCGGTAATTAAAACTCGATTACCGCCCATGTTTCCGCGAAATATCGATAAAATCATTACTTTCTATTTTCTCTCTCATTACTTTCTATTTTCTTAAATTGTCCGTACGAATTTTTTCCACGCGATTAACTTTTCGACTATGATATTCTTTTCAAAATTACCTATTTTATGGATTAACACTTTATGAATTTGTTATAAAACTTATAATCAATACTCTTTGTATTTAATTCTTTAATATCGATTTCTATGATGTTTTTAATAACGATGTATTATAACGATAGATCGATAGTCTATCCTCTATAAATATTAATAAATAAATATACAATAAAATATAGACAATATAGACAATAAAATATTATAATTACGATATTCAAAATTTTTTCGAAATAATTATATATATAATTTATAAGAAAAAAAAAAATAGTGAATTTTAATCATATAAACGACGGAATATGTATTTGGCATAAAGTCAATATTAAACTCGTTTGAAAAATATTATACGAAACGGAAGCGTTAAGGGAGAATAAACATCGCGTTTCCAACGATTTTGCTTATATTTGAGAAATCAGGTCGCACGAGGAATTAGACAACGTGATCGCAATAGACGAGTTCGACTCACTGTGTCCGTGTATAAGTATACACGCGTGTCTTTCTCAATGCCAAGCCACGTCACAATTCATTTCCCAACCGGTGTACTGCCCGACATTCTTATCCTACCTGACTATCCCCACTTTGTCCTCTACGTTCACGCTGCAGCATGTGTACAGTTAGGCTTCTCCATTGCTTTTCCAACCTCGCCTGTTTATTTCCGATTCCTTCATAATTTTTAATCGTCACGCACCTCGTTTCACTATGTATTTTCGAATAAACAATCGTAGAATAATCATTGATTCGATTTAAAATAATGAATTAAGAATTATTAGAATAAAATGTTTGTTAGTTTATTTTGGTAGTTGTTTAAAATGATTCTGAAACGTAATCGCCAGAATTAATTTCGTATTACGTAATACACAGATATTCAAACACTAATCGGTTAGAAGTAGCGAGTTGATCGCTTAGCGCAAGGTCTCGTGACTCGGCAATTCTCGTGACAGATCGTGAGAGTTCGACAAAACGGCGCGTGACGGATCTAATGTAAGACGCGTATTACGTCGAGTTAAAAATCGATGTATCGAAAATTATGGACGTATCGATATATGTACATTAAAAATACACAATCGATAATCAAGATTCAACATTGACAAATTAACAAATGGATATAAGTCCATTGATAAATAAATAAACAAATTTCTATATTGTTGATAAAAAGAATTAAGAATGCTAAAATATCGAAAGCTGTCAAGAATATTTATAAGAGAAAGATTTATAATTGCATCTCTTATCAAGCTTTTATTTATATTATTTATTGTATACAATTCACATTGCTGTTTATGCACTTTAACTGAATGTAGTTCTGCATAATGACATTGCATCGAATTTACGTAAGATTAAACGAACTTGAGAGAGCCTTAGGACGAGCAATCGACGTGTACTTACATTCCATGACAGAAAATGTAAAAGTTAACGTTGCCCCATCGAACTTACAGACTTTCACTCTCAGCAAAAATATCCCTACTGCTTCGTGTATTTCTCCGAAACAGCCGTAATGTAATACAATCCCATTAAATTCCGATCATCTTCGACTTCGTTGAGTTTTATAACGCAATCGTAATCCGACACCTTTCTTAATTATATCACGATCAATTTCCTCGAATTCGAACAACTCGATAATTATATATATATATATATATATAAATAATTATAATTATTTATAATTTGTACAAATGTATTTGTGATTAACAATTCTTTTCATAAGAAAATAAATCATTATTCAAATATAATGAATATCGTTTCTCAGCAATCTCAATGCTAAATAGATAATATAAATAATTGAAATACATAACACGAGAATGCAAGATACAAGTGTGAAAAGATCAGTCGGATATGAATATCTAGAGACAAAATTGACGCGATACGGCACTGGCCCAAAGAAAGTCGTTTCCCCAAGAGTCGTGTGAAACCGTTTGTCTGTGCCTGTCAGCTGTGTATATCGCGGCTCTCCGACCTAGAAACCCACTTTCTTACCGAATTAAAAGCGACATCGAATGTACTGTAGGTTCGGCTAGATATCAACGGTCAAATACATAGATACCTGCCGTCTTACCAATAACTAGCTGGAAAATAAACTTCTTTTTCTCTGCGACCAATCATGTTGTTCTTCTTTACGAGCAGCCTCGTTTCTATCCAATATTTTTCTACCTCTTTAACAAATATTCGATATTTAACCGTAGAAACTGTTAAAGAAATTATAGAAAAAATTTGAATGATTATTATTATATTTAGATAATTAAAATTAAGGAGGATAAAAAAATATACGATAAAACAAATAGGTTATGTATGATTATGATGGGAAGGGACTGGTAGAAGAAGATAATAAACACAATACTGCGTGCGCAGCTTTCTTAACCTCATGACATTTTCAACTAAACGACTCGACGCGACACGCGCACAAAATCGAAAGTTTGTTTTCTTTTTCTCTGTTTTTCGTGATTCTTTTGATAATTCGATATTTGGAACGCGAAATGATCGAATGTAAGAAGGCAATAAAGGGAGCACGGGAACAGAGGCAACGAGGTAGAAGATATGGAACAAACGAGGTTAAACAGTAGACACGCGCAAGAGGAGCGGAAATACGCGGCCCCGATCTACTAAGCACAGTCATTTCCGAGCTTACACTTGTACACGATAGTCATAGCAATGTTTTAATTTCTTATCGTCCATCTATCAATTGAATCTTTAGATTTAGATAATAACTTTTGCCTTTTGTAAATAATATATATTGTAGAAAATATTTCAGAAATCTGAAAAATCATTTCATTGCGAAATAATTTTTTCAAATTTGAAAAAAAAGTTTTGAATTTAATTTGTAATCGGATAATAAAGAGTGTATGCAATAATAAGTTAAAATAGATTAGAAAAATATTCTTGTTTGATACTCGAATCGATTAAAATAAAGGCAAGGAAATGTTAGAAAAGAAAAATAATAGTAGCGATGACCTTGACTTCTTTCGGTTGTTGTTCTAAGAGGAGCGTGGGCGCGATGGTTGTCAACGAGGGTATGAGAATACGTGAAGGGTGGCGGTAACACGACATATCGGCGTCTCCATTGAAATAGCTTTTAGGCCGGATTTAAATAATCCTTGCTCCGCGAAATCCTCTTTGCGTCGATTCTTGTATCCTTTGTATAATAACGAACAGATCTTTTTAACCGAGTCTTGACCGATAACCAATATATCTGATCTATTGTCTGAAAATTATATAACAACACTTTCGGTTTTGAATTTTTCGTTCTGATAAAGAAAATTTTCAATTTTTCTTTTAATTAATTAGAAAATAAAAAAATAACAGTTTTTTTACATATTAAAATTATAATAACGTTTTCTTTTTTTTCTTCTTTTTAATTTATAACTTATAATAATGTATTCTTTGTTCAAAACTTATAAAAGCATAAATAATAATAATTAAAAAATTTTTTTCGCATATAAATGGCAATTGATTTAATGTCAATTTTTCGATTAGATACATACATTACATTAATTGTTAGTAACGCATAAACATGACACAACAGTAGCCCATTTAATTATGCCTTGGTGAAAGGTCGGATGCAACTACGGTTAAAAGTCTATGCAACATTATGATGTTTAATAAACCCTGTTCAAAAGGATTTCTTGAGTTATTTCACTAGCCACTGTTTTCGTGACATGTATAATTCTATAAAAATGCACGAGATCTGATTATTTGATCACAATTATTAGATATCTATCACTGATTCAAATAGTAATTTTTATTTTAAAAAAATTAAATTCAACAAATTATATAATACAAAAAATTAAAAAATTCTTTTTTAAAATTTTTAAATTTTAAAGTCTCGAATTTTGTGAAGCGATGTTTATAGATTATGGATTATTTATGGATTATCTGTATTTTTTCATATATCTTTTGTAATGAAAACAAAATGATAATAATGATAATAATTTTGATAAGTAATAATACGAGGAATAAAAAAAAATAATATTTTTTTCTTATCTCTCTGTGTTCAAAGTGAAACCTCCACATGCAATTATGCATAAAACGTAAAATAAATAAATAAGATATAATTAACGAAAAATGATACAGTTTCGAAGATAAGGATGACATCATTTCACGGACCTTGTCCGTGAATCCGAATGAAACCGGGCTCCTGACCTCATCCTACGCACCTGCCAGTGGCCCACAACCGATGGAGACTGCGATCATCTCCGAAGTTTTACGACGACACACGAGGGCGCAATCGATATCGCGGAGGGGGATCCGTCTCGCCACAGTTACGGTATCTGTCGTACTCCGCCACGAAAATTAAAGATCCGTTTGTGTTACGTGCACAAAAAGATGTTGCCCGTAACAAGAATACGAGTTTCTTCGTAAATATTGTAAGTATCTAATTTTAAAATCTTTCAAAGATTGTTTGAAAAACATGCTATTTTTATTTTTTCACAACTAAACTGACGTTCATAGATGAAAGAATTCTTAATAGCAAGTATACCAAATATGATGTTTAGTATTATATTTTTAAGAGACTGATAATTATTCAAATAATTATTTAATTACTTTTCGAAAGTAATATGTATTCAGTTTATTTTTTTCGTTTTCATCTTCACTTATATTCTGTACATGATGAATTATTTTTTGAGACGTTGTAAAATATCTGAATTTTATTGTTAATTTTGATTTCATTTCCAAGATATTGCATATCTCTCTTAATATACTCTTAATCGAATCGTTAATAAAATATATACGTATATAAAATAATAAAGAAAAAAAATTCGAGATAACGTAATACAGCCATAGTTGCGTTCTTTTCTCTAATTTTTCAACAAGGTAGTTCCTTTTGCTTAAAAAGGCCGCGATGATCAAAAGGGGGAGAGAAGACGAGGACAAAAAAGAGAACGAAACACAGCATCATAGGGGAGAGAGTCAAAGAATTTTACTGGCGGCTTGCGCGCGTGCGTGCGCGCACACATACAGAGTTGATGTTGGTTTGTTTTTCACCTCGCATTGTGCGCATCGTTCGTTACGTCTGGCAATTATCTGGCCGCAAGCTCGTACTGCTTTTAATATTTTTAATCCGCGAAACTTGAAGCTGAACCGCGCAAAGTAACTTTACTGTTAAATTTTATTTATTTATTTTTTTCGATATAAGAGGAAATTTTCCATAATAGAATTTTTCTCAAAATCTCGATATATTTCATTGATATGAAACATAAACGATCAATAAATAAAATCAATTTATTTTTATATTTATTTCCGAAAAAATTTTCTCTTTCTTAATATTCAATTATTGAAATGATTTTGATATTTTGGACGGTTTTGGAATAATAGTCAAAATGATTCGAGATGTTATGTGACACCATTGAAAGCAATTTGTGGCATTCGCAAGGACTACCGGCAACGATCGTCCAAAGGACGGAATTTCAAGACGCCTCCTGCCAGTAAATCCGATCGATCAGTCTGCCCTGTTTAGCCTCCAACAACGCTGAAATCTCCTCGACACTGTTCACTGATGGATTCAACTGATCATAGTTCGTGATAACCAACATTCTCGACTTGTCTTTTCAACCTAAAACAACTTTAAAAGTAAAAGTTAAAGGGAAATGAATGTTTCGAACTTCGTCCATAAGATGTCGACATTTTCGACGTAATGATGATGTAATGACAATCTAATTATATATTTAAATTTCTAGTAAGTTTGCATTAAATTTAATGTTCGATTGATAAAAAATTCCGATCGAAATGGATTCTTTCCGTATGAGTAACAACAACAACAAGTTAGTATGAGTACTAAAAATGGGCTCGTTTCAAGTGAAATTTTCCAGAGATACGGATGGAAAAAGATGGACAAGCAGGAAGCAAGAAAACGGATCGCGGATCAAGCGAAGAAAAGAGTAAAAGCAGGTTAGAACGGTAATATAATATGTGAGCATGTATACTCGTATATAGACGCGTATAGAAAGCGTCGTTGCTCGATTTCATTCAATTTTGCCTCATTGCGTTCCAATTTTTAAATATTAAACCGATTATATACATTACATTATTATTCGTATTCGTTTCAATTTAATAAACAATTAGAATAACTTTCGAAACATAAATCTCGATTAGCATTTGTTAAAAATTTCAGACTAATAATGAAAAATTTATATACGTAATTCGAATATCTCGAATTATTGTATCGAAAGTAGATAATACCGTAAAGCGAACATTTGCTAAGAGAACCCTCTAGCGGATGGGGATGACAAAATATTTTACGCAATCGACTTTATCGGTAGATCATGGCGTAACGATGTTTCATATTAACCTTCTTCTCGAAAACCTAATCCATTGCATTTCGTCCATTACACACCACAGTCAGTTAACTCTCTAACTTGTTAAACTTTCTACCTCGTATCGATTCAAAAAAAAAAATAATTATTTAGGCTTACATTTCTATAAAGAAAATCGATCGATTTTATTTAAAATTATTTTTAAATTTAATAATTTAACGACACGCATAAATTTGATAACTTAAAATTTTATAAATACAATATTGTTTTCTTCAATTATATAAATAAGCAAGTGGTTATCAGGTGTAATAAAATCGAATGAAAGTTTCGTTTTGGGCAATATATCGTATCGTTGTTGGACGATCGATATTACATGCGCTCTTCTCTCTTCCTAGGTCCAATAATAATTCGGTGTTTTACGATGTTGATCGACCGTCGACATAATTACGCGGCCGAGCTGGCAGCGTTACGTGTACCTGACGCCCAATTAATGCAGCGGCATTGGCGAATTATCGGCCATCGCACTTTTTCCTTATTCCCTTCCTTCTGATTTATCGACTCGCCCAAGAACTACCAAGAAAAAACAAAAACATTTGTTCTTTCGTGAACGAAACGAAATTATCGATTCGATATAGTTTCAAAATTTTCGGGAGGAAAATTAGCGGAATTTTTCTAAATTCGATGTTCTTTGAAAAATATATAATGCAGAGACGAAAATTAAGAAAATTAAGAAATTTCAACCGGGTTGGAAGCATATGTAAATATGAAAGCAAAGCGATTCTCGTAGGCAGTTCTCGGTTGTTGCGATTGATTAGCTACGAGAACCGGGATGCACACAAACGTCGCAGTACGCAGGTGAACGCATGTAAACGCCCTGCCAATGTAAATGTAATTATGGATTCGCTTTGATGTCGTAAAACGCTCGCTGTCGATAAAATTACGTGTCTTATTAGCTCCATAGCCAGTTAATACATTTAATATACAAGTTTATGCTACGTTCTAAGATGGCTTCCTATATATCGAAATAATGAAACCATTTCCTTCTTCCCTTTAATTTATTCTTTTCTATTAAATAAATTGAAAAATTATAATTTCACAATTTTAAAAATAAAAAATTCTACTTATTAAACATCTACTTTTTTTATTGTTAAATATTTAGTAACACAATCTCTCTCTCTCTCTCTC